TTTTTTGGATTATTTAATAATCTAATTAATTTACAATTGTGCAGTATAATTTTTACATATTATATAATTGAATCTGGCAGATGGCAGTTTTGACATTTCAGCAGTTTTGATATTTCAGCAGTTTTGTATTTTTGACATTTTTAGCATTTTTGACATTTTTGACATTTTTGGCATTTTTGGACAGTTTTGGCATTTTTTGGCATTTTTGTCAGTTTTGACATTTTGGCATTTTTGGACAGTTTCGGCATTTTTTGGCATTTTTGTCAGTTTTGACATTTCGGCATTTTTGGCATTTTTGGCATTTTTGGCATTTTTGGCATTTTTGACATTTTTGGCATTTTTGGACAGTTTCGGCATTTTTTGGCATTTTTGTCAGTTTTGACATTTCGGCATTTTCGGCATTTTCGGCATTTTCGGCATTTTCGGCATTTTCGACATTTTCGGCATTTTCGACATTTTCGACATTTTCGACATTTTCGGCATTTCGACATTTCGGCATTTCGGCACTATGTAGGAGGTTTTACCTTTCGGCATCAGGCTAAGCGAATTTTGTCAGGCAACCTTAGCTTGCATTTAATTTGCCTTCAATTAATACTAATGGACCTATTTTTTTTCTTGTAAAACATCCCCAAACCATGATTCCATCAGATTTTTTTACTGTTGGACTTAAATTTTCTTTATTATACTTTTCCCCTGGTTTCCTCCAGACCCAATCATTTGAATCATTTTGAAACAATTCAAACCTGCTTTCATCACTAAATATTATTTTATCCCATTCATTACTCCAATTTTTCCTTGCATGACACCAGTATAATCTCTTTTTCCTATTTACATCAGAGATAAGAGGCTTTTTTACAGCCTTTCTTCCATACATATTTTTATCATGTAATGTTCGCCTTACAGTTTTTTCACTTATGTTAATGTTTGATTCCTTAAGTTCGTTGCATACTTCAATAATGGTTGTTTTAGGATTTTTTCTAACAATTTTTAAAACTTGTCTAGTGTCATGGTCTGTTAATTTCTTTGGTCTTCCAGGTCTTGAGACTGCAGAAGTTTTATTTTTTTTAAAATAATCATTGATAATATTATGAACAGTTGCTTTTGATCTCTTTAATATTTCAGCTATCTGATCATATGTAAAGTTGGCTTTTCTCAATCCAATAATTTCTCCATGTTCAAATTCAGTTAATTGAGTAGCTTTAGGCATTTTATAAATAATTTTTCAAAAAAGAAAAAAAAAAAGAGATAATGTTTGTTTAACAGATGTAACTTAAAGTTTTACAAATTTTTTTTTGGATTTTCAAAATTCAAATTTTTTACTCCGTTGTATAATTTCTCAACAATTAATTCACCAAATGTTCTATAAATTCGTAACCAACTAAATCCAAACATTGCAATCATTTTTTACTTATTCCATAAGAAACGTTAAAACTTGCCATTGTGGTCAATTTTTGAGATTAAGATTTTTTAAAAATTTTTGAAAATTTTTCATTTATCTTTTAAGGTTCATAGAACAATCAATTTTTATTTATATGCAATGAAACTTCAGTATGTTATAGAATTTGATATGAAAAAGGATTTCTACTTAATAAATAGGATCGATTAGGTTAATAAAATATTTAGTTTTATTATGTCAAAGTCACTCGATTATTTTTGATGATTGACAAATGTTCATATATTTTTTGTCCAGTGAGTGTATATACACAAACAATAATTTTTTGATTGGTTCTACAACAAATTTTCAAGAGTACTTGTTTATATTACAGCATGTTACGAATTGAATAAACTGTATATATATATCTTAATAATTATTACAACACAAATAAATAATAAATAAAAATAGATTCATTTAAAAGCCCATCGATTGGGAGCTTATCTAGAAAAAGGTATATAGCTTAATATTAAGAAGTTATTTTTGAGTGTAAAATATGTTATATGTTTTAATATAATATAAAACGGTGTGGGTTGATCATCACCAAACATTTTTCAAGAAATTGGTATCAACATGGAATCATTGACAAATAAAAAAATTCACATTAACAATTATTTGTTTGAGTGAAGGAATAATTGATAATATATTATATTTAATCATATGAATAGTTATGTATTAGCAAATAGTTTTTCAAGTCAAAACTTGTTGTTATACATTGAATCTCATATTCCTTTTCTAATCAGAATTGTATTTTCCGAATGTTCAGAATTACAGTGTAATAGCAACATTCCGCAAATTTATTGAGATGAAATGTGTCCTTTCTTTACAGTGAAGGAACCAACACCATGTGACTTTCTGACTACTTCAATAACATTCACTCAATGCTCCCTGCGCCAATGAATTGATGATGTACCAAAGAAGGATGAAAATCAAATAATAGAGGGAATGAAAATATAATGTCATAAAATAATAGATGGAAGTCAAAAGGATGAAACTCAAAAAGGAAATAATAGGGAAATGAATGAATCAATGGCTGAAAAACCATTTTTGTTTGAAACTATTGATTTTATTTTTTTATTAATTAATTTTCATTTTCAGCAGGTTCAGTATCAAAAATACATATGTAAACTCGATAAGTCGGTCATGTCAGGGCGGACCCCTGTGACCAACTTATCGAGAGAACCAACTTATCGAATTTCATGTGATTTTTTAATTTATTAAAATAAAAAATGTTAACATTGAAAATATATAATAATAAACATTGAACTCCCCTTTTTA